TACCTCTCTTAGTGCAATGAAGATGGTGCTGCCAGAGGATTTGAGACACCGGGGACGAATCACCTATTCCATTGTAAAATGAGAACAAATAGGACAAACTGAAGCCTGCCATTGGACAAGGCGTAAAATATTTTTAAGTCAGGTTTCTTTCTGTTAGATTTTTTTCTGTTATATGAATTATCAAGCAATGGTTTGGGGAAGATAAAGTTAAGTGAGAAATATCTTCTTTTAATTGCAAATCCATACTTTGAAAGAAATGGCAATAGTTGATTATCAAACAGTTGTCGATCTTTACTTTGAAATGAGATGAAGGGAGGGCAAAATTTGATTCTTTAAACGAAATAATGTAATTACATGAAGATCCGTCTACCATGCAGCACCTCCCCACTGAAGTTTAAAAAAAAAAAAAAAGTTGGGTTCAGTCGACACGCCCTACAATAGGCCGACACAACGCATCCACCCACACAAAATATGTTAGTTGCTTGTTAGTTTTTATATTTTGTTTAACGGTATATCTGTCTATACGAGTTATTTAATGCTGAAATCTAAATATTTTGAACACAATCTTATGCCTTCAACTACAGAAAATATCTTCCCCCCCACCCACATGTTGGAATATATACCTTGCGTAAGGGCATCTCGAGGCCTTTGTGTAAGGTTATCAAGCTTGTCTCCGTTGTCAATACCACTGTAGATATATCTTATATACAGGTTGAAAATCTGTAAAGATGAACATATACAGGATAAATTCGGCAAGCTTATATTTATTTTTAATGAATGTTTTTTAAGTTTGGGAAACATCCATGTTTATAATTTTATTGTATAAAAAAAAAATGGCACAAGGCCTAAAAAGGAGGGATTGAGGCTGGTCGTCACTAATCTATCCTATACCTAGCTAATCCGATTCAAACCCATTCACTCATTACAATTTTGTACATTCACCAAAAAATCGTCCGTCACCAATCAATCCTCCATATAAATTTTTTCGCATCTTATCAAGGTTCTCAGGCCTAAAATTTTGTTTCTATGCCACTTTTTTAGTGACATATGATTTTTATTATAAAAAATCAATAATGAAATTTAAATAATCCATGTAGAATATTGGTTATCTTGCAAGTGGTCTAACACACAAGTAGGTTGGTGTAGCCACCAAGTTTAATGGACCTGCCCAACACATTTGTATGAGTGGTCTCTATTCACCCATATACCTCTCCATTAAATGATTCAGGGTTAGATTTGATTTGAGATAACTCCACCAGTCTACTTGTGTTTCAGACCACTTGCAAGCTAACCAATATTCTACAATCCACAATATTCGTTATAATTGTTTTTTTATTATAGAATTAGAACAAATTATAACATTAAATGTATCTAATCCTATTCATTTAGTTTTGTCGGGATTATCTCACCGACGAGTAAGGGAGGAGGGAAAGGAAAGACGGTTTCAAGGCTTGCAATGAAAAGTCTGACGTTGCTTACAAGCGAAGTCTTCCTTGTAACGGTAACAAAAGTTAAATGACTAGTAACACTCGGTACTCTCCTCCTGCGTAACAAGTGAGCTCTACAAAGGATCTGTATTGGAAAAAAAACTCCATTTGCGACTGAAAGTAGCGCCTTTTAAACTCTCAAGGTCTCGTTCAACGTCATACGACGAGACCAGAGCGTCTATAAAAATCGTCAATCCTTTGGCCCTAGTTCAGTCCGGGAGAAAAATTACTATTTTAGACGACGACGCAAACGCCACCAGAGCACATACTTCCCCCTCCCGACCTACCCTCGGTGAGTACAATATATTGTTCTTTTTTTTAGTCACCACGGTTTTATATTGTAAAATCGGAAACGTTGGATCACTAAGTCCGTAACACTAAGTTGTTTTTTCCCCCAAAAAGTTTGCAAAATTTAAAGATATTGATCCGTTTTGTTAATCCTTGTTCATTTGTCAAGTTACCCCTCTCCGTTTCCTTCAGTATTACATTCTCCAGGACGTTGACGATCGTGGCTCTCCGCAACTTCTTGTCCCTTGTAGCTCTTTGAAAAAAAATCTCGCTAAAGAGGAGAAAAAAATGAAGACATAAACATGATCCGAAAAATCTGTTATCGTTCTAGTGTGATCTCTACTCTTCCTGGTAGGAAGTGAGGAAATCTCATTTAACAATTTACGAAAGATAACGACCTGCAGGGAATTAAGTCTATTGAAATGGGCGCGTCCGCGTCGGGAGTCTGCGTCCGCATCGGAGGCATACATCGAGACAGAAATATAACATACCCGAATTTCAGTTCCATGTTGGAATATATTACCCTGCGTAAGGGCACCTCGAGGCGGTGTAATGGTTAGCAAGCTTGTCTCGCTAGAACAATTACCACTGAGTAGTGAGTTCGATTCTCACTGGGTGCTCCCTACTTTCGGCCTTGTGCCACATCTAAGCTACGCTTGGAAAATCATAGGGCATCTTGACGTGGTGTAATGGTTAGAAAGCTTGTCTTGCTAGATCAATTACGAATGAGTAGTGAGTTCGATCCTCACTATGTGCCCTATACTTTCGGCCTTGTGCCACATCTAAGCCGGGCTTAGAAAATCACTATCTACCTTGCGTAACCAGTGCTGAATTTACCTATCTGCTTACACTTCCTCGAGGTAAGCACTTTTTCTTTTCTTTTTTTTTTTTTTAAATATATTTTTATTTTATTTTTTATTTAACATAAATCATCAAAAATTAGTTTTAATCATTAATAAATAACAAAAACCATATACAATTATTTAAAAATTTTTACCCGATTATTTTTTTTATTTTTTATTTTTTTTTTTTTTAAGAAGGGTTTCTAATTTCCTGTATACTACGACCATGGACACTCCATTTCTGCATGGCGCGAGACTTTCCCGACTAAACCAACATTTAAAACAGCGTTTCAGTGAAAATTAATTTAAGCTCAACAAAGTAATAAGAAACATGAAAACTACGTTTACAGAATGCGGAGTCTGGGCCAGGATAACAAACTACAGAGCAGAAGACCACGTAGGCCTGGATTTCTGACAGTGATTGTCTTTATCTCATTTTTGGATGTAAGACCAGATGACCGCAAGAATTTACACGCTTCCCGTATGCAGGCTGCCCTCAGAGACTAGACAGCGTCTGATGAAATCCTAATCCAAGGTGTCTGCATGCGTTCCGCTAACCATCTTCTCCTGGTTACCTCCTAAAATCGACGCTATCACATTTGTCCTTCGTATAATAAAGCGAACGGAAGAAGAATCGTCCTTTATAGATACGGTCTATGTAGTGTCGAGATCTGAAGAACTGAGTTAATGGTGACATGGAACGTAACACTTCGTTAGAAACAATGAAAAGATTGCTGAACTTCTATGAGAGATCCTTCCTCTTATATGACAGTAAATACTGGACAATCTCCCCGCTGATGAAGGGAAAACTAGTGGTAATAGAAATGTGGTTCTACAGAAGGATACTGAGACTTCCGTGGACGGAGGAAATAACAAGAAAATAACAAATATTTATAAACAGAATCGGGAAGAGATAGCTGAAATTTATTGTAAACATATTGAGGAAGGAGGGTGTCTATATTTCTGAGATGAGGTATTATGTACACTATTTACATTATTCGGACTATTGTACTCATCTTTGTCGCCATATTTATTACATCGTTTCGGCCGTTGTACGCTCCGGCCTTCAAGTCGTTGAATGCCGAACTGAACCCTTTATTTCGCTCACTGATGTAGACTGTTCTAGTTCCATGTGCCATGTCTAATGGATGTCAGTTATTATTAATTTCCTTCTCAATTTTCCACTCCTTAACCAAATTTAACTCAAAACTCTCAAAAGGTCCTGTAAACTTCATTTTACTAACGCCTTTATGGCACATTTTTATAATAATTAGAAATAAACAATGTTTTCAATTCCCGGTTAAGGCAATGGAAAAATTTCCATTTTCTTGACACAAGATAACTTCAACTTGGGAAATCCATTAAAAACATGGCACGAATAACTAGAACAGTCTTGTTAACAACAAAATAAAAGGTTCAGTCCATATTCAACCACCTGTCTGAAGGCCAAAAAAGATTTGTACAATTTGCTCGAAACGCTCAATAAGACCAGGAAAGGAGGGGTTGGAAAACGTAACCCTTAAATTTTATATTAAAGGCAAGAAACTAGGTAATGTCTATATTAAATACCTGACGAACTCGTGTATATGGCTGGCGCAACAGGAAAGTTTGGGACGCTTGACAAAGTGAGACATGCTGCTAAGAGCCACAAGGGAGAGAACCTTGATCGCACACGACTGAACGGACACTGTCATTGGGGGGGATGAAAGCCGGCAACAAATTCCGATCACACATGTACCATTTACTTTCACACATATGCTTTCTGGAAAGGCATGAATCCATTTCTTTACCTTCCTCCTAGCGATGGGTTAAAAAAAGAGAAACTGTATTCTAGTCGAGGTTGGCATCCCGTAAAGGAGAGAAGTTATTCTGAAATCAAAATTGTGGAGGAAGCAACGGTAAAACGCTCCACCATCTGTCTCCGAGAAGTCATGGCAGTTTATTGATATGAAAAACTAAAGAATCTTTGGGTAGCCATGATACTTTGACCTGAAGGGAACACTTTAAAATCGAAACTTCTGGGTTTTTATATATATATATATATATATATATATATATATATATATATATATATATATATAATCTATACGAAATAGACTTACGAATGTCCATAGCAGCTCAAAAGCACGTCTGACGCACTCTTCACGAAGGCTTTTCAGTATTACCTGTGATTCGATTCGATATTCATTGGTAATAGCTGATGGGGTGGGTGGAGTAGTAAGATAGCGGCTTGAAATGAGAAGACCAGAAACTGAAATGGAATTCTTATTGTGTACGTTACATTCACGTGCTATTTTAAAATTCCCTTGAAACATTTCTTTCTTTCTTTGTCTCCCTCTCTCTCTGTCTTTTTCTTTGTCTCCCTCTCTCTCTGTCATTTTCTTTGTCTCCCTCTCTCTCTACTGTCTCTTTTCTTTGTCTCCCTCTCTCTCTACTGTCTCTTTTCTTTGTCTCCCTCTCTCTCTACTGTCTCTTTTCTTTGTCTCCCTCTCTCTCTACTGTCTCTTTTCTTTGTCTCTCTACTGTCTCTTTTCTTTGTCTCTCTACTGTCTCTTTTCTTTGTCTCTCTACTGTCTCTTTTCTTTGTCTCTCTACTGTCTCTTTTCTTTGTCTCTCTACTGTCTCTTTTCTTTGTCTCTCTACTGTCTCTTTTCTTTGTCTCTCTACTGTCTCTTTTCTTTGTCTCTCTACTGTCTCTTTTCTTTGTCTCTCTATATGTCTCTTTTCTTTGTCTCTCTCTCTCTTTTCTTTGTCTCTCTACTGTCTCTTTTCTTTTGTCTCTCTAGAAAGCTTTTCTTTTTGTCTCTCTCTCTCTCTACTGTCTCTTTTCTTTGTCTCTCTCTCTCTCTCTACTGTCTCTTTTCTTTGTCTCCATCTCTCTCTCTCTACTGTCTCTTTTCTTTGTCTCCATCTCTCTCTCTCTCTCTACTGTCTCTTTTCTTTGTCTCCATCTCTCTCTCTCTCTCTCTCTTTTCTTTGTCTCCATTCTCTCTCTCTCTACTGTCTCTTTTCTTTGTCTCCATCTCTCTCTCTCTCTACTGTCTCTTTTCTTTGTATCTCTCTCTCTCTCTACTGTCTCTTTTCTTTGTCTCCCTCTCTCTCTACTGTCTCTTTTCTGTCTCTCTCTCTCTCTCTACTGTTTCTTTTTGTCTCTCTACTGTCTGTTTTTGTCTCTCTCTTGTGTCTCTTTTTGTCTCTCTCTAAAATCTTTTTTGTCTCTCTCTCTCTCTCTCTCTCTCTCTTAAAATCTTTTTTCTTTGTCTCTCTCTCTCTCTCTCTCTGGTTTTTTTTCTTTGTCTCTCTCTCTTTGTCTTTTCTTTGTCTCTCTCTCCTCCTCTCTTTTCTTTGTCTCTCTCTCTCTCTCTCTCCTCTCTTTTTTTGTCTCTCTCTCTCTCTCTCTCGTCTCTTTTTCTTTGTCTCCTTCTCTCCTCTACCTCTCTTTCTTTGTCTCTCTACCTCTCTCTCTTTTTCTCTCTCCCGTCTCTTTTTCTTTATCTCTCTCCTCTCTCTTTCTTTGTCTCTCTCTCTCTCTGTCTCTTTTCTTTCTCTCTCTTTCTCTCTCTCTTTTGGTCTCTCTCTTTCTTTGTCTCTCTCTCTCTCTCTCTCTCTTTGTCTCTCTTTTTCTCTCTCTCTCTTGTCTTTTTCCCTCTCTCTCTCTCTCTCTCTCTCTTTGTCTCTTTCTTTGTCTCTCTCTCTCTCTCTTTTTTTTCTCTCTCTCTCTCTCTCTCTCTTTTCTTGTCTCTCTCTCTCCCTCTGTGTATCTTTATCTCTCTCTCCCTCTGTGTATCTTTTCTTTCTCTCTCTCTCTCTCTCTCTCTCTCTTTCTTTCTCTCTCTCTTTTCTCTCTTTCTTTGTCTCTCTCTCTCTCTCTCTCTCTTTTCTTCTCTCTCTCTTTCTCTCTCTCTCTTCTTTACACTCTCTCTCTTTTCTCTTCTCTCTCTCTCTCAGAAAACTCTCTTTCTTTTCTCTCTCTCTCTCTCTCTCTTTTTCTTTGTCTCTCTCTCTCTCTCCTCTCTCTCTTTCTTTGTCTCTCTCTTTCTCTCTCTCTCTCTCTTCTCTCTCTTTCTCTCTCTTAAAATTTCTCTCTCTCCTCTACTGTCTCTTAGTCTCTCTCTTTCTACTGTCTCTTAGTCTCTCTCTTTCTACTGTCTTTTTGTCTCACACTCTTTCATTCTACCGTCTCTTTTCTTTGTCTCCCTCTCTCTCTACCGTCTCTTTTCTTTGTCTCTCTCTGGTGTCTCCTTTTGTCTCTCTCTGGTGTCTCTTTTTGTCTCTCTTTGGTGTCTTTTTTGTCTCTCTCTCTCTTTGGTGTCTTTTTTGTCTCTCTCTCTCTCTATTGTCTCTTTTCTTTGTCTCTCTCTCTCTCTAGCGTCTCTTTTCTTTGTCTCTCTCTCTCTCTCTCGTCTCTTTTCTTTGTCTCTCTCTCTCTCTCTCTAGCTCTCTCTTTTCTCTTTCTCTCTCTCTCTCTCTTTGCGTCTCTTTTTCTTTCTCTCTCTCTCTCTTTGTCTCTCTCTCTTTCTTTGTCTCTCTCTCTCTATCTCTTTTCTTTGTCTCTCTACTGTCTCTTTTCTTTCTCTGTCTCTCTCTCTCTTTCTTTTCTTTGTCTCTCTCTCACTCTCTCGTCTCTTTTCTTTGTCTCACACTCTCTCTCTCTCTCTTTTCTCTCTCTTCTCTTTGTCTCTTTCTCTTTTGTCTCTTTGTCTCTCTCTTTCTACTGTCTCTTTGTCTCTCTCTTTCTACTTCCTCTTTGTCTCTCTCTTTCTACTGCCTCTCTCTCTCTCTAAAAAGTGCTTTTACTTAACCGGGCAACCAAAGCCACGTCAGAGCATTTTGAGATATATATATATATAAAACGTCAAAATCGGTACCCAATTGCAATCGTGTTTTCGATGCGTATCAATGCATCTCATCAGGCGATTGCAAATTGACTAGATTATAATTTACAATCTCTTGATGAAATGTATCGGCTCTGTAGCAATTTTGACATCTTTTCGATGGTATGTCCTAAAAAACATATTCCTCTATTTCATATTCTGAGAGCTTTTTTTAAATGTTACCAACGTTGAAATTATACTCTATTCAAAATTCTCATATATATATATATATATATATATATATATATATATATATATATATATACATTTAAATTACTATCAAACGTTAAATTCTATTTTTTTGATTTAAATTGCTAAAAATATACCACCCTCTTCTCATTTGTCTTTAAATTAGTCCTTGTCTTTTTGGTTCCCTTTTTTGTCTTTAATTCCCCCCACCACATTCTTTTCGCTTTTCTCCTTTTCCTTCCCCCCTATCATTTCCATTGAGTTGACCAATTAAATAGGTCAGTGTCTGCTCTTTACCCCCTCTTTCCTCATATTAAGTACTGTACTAAAAAGAAATATAAAAATAAATTTTAAAACTCTCCCTTCCCTCTCTAAACTCGACCATGTCTCTCACACCATTCCTCATCACCCTCTAATTCAACTTATATAAGCTTAATACTGCCCGTCAAAAATGTAAATTCTAATTTGATTTTTCGTTTCACTTTTTGAAATTGTTGTCTGAAGATCCAGGAGAAAATAAAAGCCCCTGTTGAAATAAATTATTACAATGGAGCCTTAAAGTAGCCTGTTTTTTTTAAATTAAATTATTCGCTCTGAATTAACATTGAGCTCTCAGGATTTCATCCTCCTTGGGATTATTGATACGGATTACCAAATGTTTTTCGTGACACACACATATATATATATATATATATTTTCGTAATCACAAAACATTTTAATATATATATATATATATATATATATTTATTTACAAACACACACACATATATATATATATATATATATATATATATATATATATATGTGTTAAATACAAAAATATATCGTATGTATACAAAGGTTTGTGCATAGTTATTTCTGTGTATATATTTTTTTGAAATTTATCAAAACGGGGCTCTAGGTTAATTTTTTCATTTTCTCTTGCTCTATTCTTGTTTGTCGCCGCCGTCTCTTCACTTGACGTTGTTAGTTTTTGTTCTCCCAAAGTTCACTTCGCCTGCAGTTGTCTCCCCTTCTGAGCTTTTCTTGTTCGCAGTTCTTCCTTTGGCGCTCCTCGACGTGACATTAGATAAAGTTGTTTTTCGATTACTTTATCAAAATATCATTGCTAGACATGAAACTTATTTTTCGTTTTTGGATTTAAAGACGTTTGCGCTAAACTTTGTTTCATGTTCACCTGTAAAGACTGTCGGGTTCCACCAGGAGGCTTTGCTAAAATCGTCTCGACACGGTGCACTTGCCATAATCTAAGCAAACATCAGAACTGAATTTTTTTATTTATTTTTAATCACTTGCTAGGGCCATAAAGGAAAATTATTAAAGATGTGTATCGTTGTATCAGCACGACAGTTTATTCCATTACTCCTACTGCATTTTTTCTTTCTGTCTCTCGTCTTTTCTGTCTCTCGTCTTTTCTGTCTCTCGTCTTTTCTGTCTCTCGTCTTTTCTGTCTCTCGTCTTTTCTGTCTCTCGTCTTTTTCTGTCTCTCGTCTTTTCTGTCTCTCTTTTCTGTTTCTGTCTTTCGTCTTTCTGTCTTTCTTTTCTGTCTCTCGTCTTTTTCTGTCTCGTCTTTTTTGTCTCTCGTCTTTTCTGTCTCTCGTCTTTTCTGTCTCTCGTCTTTTCTGTCTCTCGTCTTTTCTGTCTCTCGTCTTTTCTGTCTCTCGTCTTTTCTGTCTCTCGTCTTTTCTGTCTCTCGTCTTTTCTGTCTCTCGTCTTTTCTGTCTCTCAAAATTTTCTGTCTCTCATTTTTTCTGTCTCTCGTCTTTTCTGTCTCTCTCTTTTTGGTCTCTCGTCTTTTCTGTCTCTCGTCTTTTCTGTCTCTCGTCTTTTCTGTCTCTCGTCTTTTCTGTCTCTCGTCTTTTCTGTCTCTCGTCTTTTCTGTCTCTCGTCTTTTCTGTCTCAACATCTATGAATATTGTTCAACTAATCGCTATTATTCTTATAAGCCATAATCTCGTTACAAATATGAAGTTTGGTAATTTAATTCTATTATTTAAAACTTGCTCTCGAACCTATTCCCGAAATTCGGGATTTGGACTGAAATTAAATAATACCCTGGCTTTTAAGTCTTGATTCTTGTCTTTGGAAATCATGTCATTCTTAAGGTAATAAAATGCTTCAAACCGAAAACCAAATTAGAATAGTTTTACTTTTTTTTAAATCCATTGTTTAACCGCTCCAGTAAGTACCTGACTTTTGATGCTATTTTTCTTTTACCTTCATGATTTTTTTTTTTTTTTTTTTTCAACTTGACGAAAACAAATCTTTATCATCTAAATGTTTATTTTAAAAAGAAAAAAAGATTAAAGTATTTTTTGAATATTTTTTATTTTTTTAATCGTTTCTAAACATGTCCAAAATTTTTTATAAAAAATTGTTTTTTTTTTTTTTTAGTCAGCAAAATTGACAGATAATCGATCATGGCAGCCATTTTTTTCCAATTTATAAAAAACATGAAAATCTCAATTTTGAAATTCTTTTAAAAATCAATTATAATTTTTTCAAAACTTATTTTAAGAAAATCAGATATGATAATGCTTATTGAAAATATTTTGAATCAAGCTTAACCTAGTTTCTGCACCGAAAAGACGTAATTTTTAAAATGAAACAAAGCAGGTCATAACCTTTCACGTCACTTGACAAGGTAACGAAAGATATTCATGACGTTTTGGTAGCTTACGTGAGGATAATTCCTTCTACGGAAGGAGAGATGTGAATATTTAAGTGAACAAATTTTTAAGGAAAACTTTCAGCGTTCTAATTTTCTTTTCTTTTTTTGTACTTAGCTTTCAACTTTACGATGCTTTATGGAAAATATAAAGAAATTAAAATAAGACTGTTGAAACACTAATATAAAATTTTCAAGAATATAAATAAATATTTTTTTTTTTTTTCGTTGCAATTATTTTTTTTCTTCCGTAATGATTTGATTTACTACTTTATTATTGACACAAATTATTTTTTTATATACTGTTAGTTTGTAAGTAGCTTTGGAAATTATAATCTATAAATATATATCTTAACATTCGTTAAATTTTACAAACTTTTCCCTAATTTTAGAAGATTTAACATAAAAATAAAATATTTCCGAAATAACAAATAATTGTTTTAAAAATTCATTTTTCATCGAAATATCTTTTTCCTTTCAGACAATATTGTCCATGCAGAGATGATTTTCATCTAGATGTGGTCCAACTAAAAAAAAAAAAAGAAACGTGATTTGGTTTCCTCAAAGCCTTGTGCTTTTAACTTATATAATCACTAATCTTCCCAAAATTGAAATTTTTTCGTAATGGACTAAATTATGAGGCGGTTTGGAAAATAATACATATGAAAAAAAAAATTTTTGCCATGACTTTAAAAAAAGAATAACATATTTATAATAAGTTCCATCATTTGTGAAGTTTCTGAAAGTTTCATTAAAATCCGACAATTATTTTTTTATTTTTGCAAGATTTTCAAAATTAATGTGTATCAAACAGAAAAAAATGCCCTAAAATTTTTTCCTCTCTTTACAAGAGCCAGATCAGGCCGAAACTAGAATACTGTTGCCATATTTGGGTGGGAACTATCCAGACCTCACTTTTCCAGTCAGGATAGTCTCAAAGCGCCCTTGTAGGTTCGAAGTATTTTCCACCCTCTCTCTCACACAAGAGGGATGTGACGAGCCTCTCCTTCCTGTATCGTTACTTCCATAGAAGTGCATTCCTTGGTTCCGCTATGTTTAACCTTCACGGCTAGGATCTGCCATGCCCCTTCCACAGTAGCAAACCACTCATACCTGGGATCATATTCCATCGTTGAAAAGTAAGTTCCAATGAAGACAAGCTTCTTCCCAAAAAGCAAAATCCCAATTCGATATTTTTTCCGATTACTACAATCTTAACCTGTTCAAGTCTAGTGTTAACCGTTATGTTCCCCTTCTATCCGCATAAACTGCCTCTTACGGTAATCCTCTACCTCGAGTGGCCTCCGAGCCTTGTACATGGTGAAGCTCAATGTAAAAAAAAGTTTTGATATAAAAAAAAAAAATAAATAAATAAAAAAATACGAAATGCAGAATTTAAATACCTCCCACGTAATTATTTTGTTACCTGATTTTAAATCGATAGCTTAAAAACTTTTTTCAGTGACAAACGAATTCTAATCAAGTTACTTGCTGTTAATATAAGGTACCGTTATTTTTCTTGTCTTTTTTTTCTGTTTTACTTAATTAATGACGGTCGAGTTGATGACGTAATGTATTCTTTTGGCTTTCAGTAAAATGACATTTTCGAAACCATTGCACTTAAACAATAACTCAGTTGAAATTCTTGACAACTATCACTTCCCTCGATCCAGAATAAATGCAATTCTCCAACTAAGGATCAGTGTCATGTCACTAATCACGTTTAGTTATGCATGGCTTCCTTCAACGACCCCGACACTTTCCGAAGCGTGTTGATTAATTTTATACAAACAATATTTTACAGTGTTGCAATTTGAAGAAAGTTCAGGAAGAAAAGTGTATTTCGTTCTTCAACAAAAACAGAAATTATGGGATGGCTGGTGAAAGAGTAAAGAAATTAAAAAAAAAAATGTCGGATGGGGTGAAAAATATATGGAAACGCATAATCGAAATTAAAGGCGTTGCCGGATTGGGAAGTAAAACTCTTTTGAAGAGATTTCTCTCCTCTCAAAACATGGAGGAAAACTATGCCATACTCACGCATGCGCATAAAATCTTTAAGACTCTACTTTAAAAAAAAACAAAAAAAAAACACGCGCCACGTTCAACACTGCAAGTTAATTACAAACATTCAAGCACAAACATTTCTTAGTGTCTGAGAAACCGTAAGAAAACCAATTTCTTTCCAAAGTTTTTTTTTTTTTTCTTCAGTTCATTTTTTTTTCGTTCCTTCTTTTTTTTTTTTCTTCTGCTTTTATTTCTATTTCAAAGAAAGGAACTGCGTCATGTTCTTTCTTTCTGATATCGGAGAAAGGAAAACTGTTCTGTTTTTTTTCATTACATCTTTATTTTTTCCTTTTAAGAACACCATAATTACTTGACAAAGACGAAACTAGAACGCAATATACTGCGCGGTACGTGCAAATGAAACCTTTTTGAATCCGATTAAAAGAGTTTTCTTAAGAATCACGTGGTGACTTCTGATTTCCTAATAATTTGTATTCACGTATCATATGAATATTTTTCATCCATTTCTTCTCAATTCCCAGAAACTTAAGAATTCGTCCCAATTGTATCCTGACTTCTTCAATATATGAAGAACTGAAGTGATAAATATTTTGGAATGACAATATTTCCATTCAATACAACATGGATCTCAATAGTTATCCTTCCATAACTCCTTGATCCAATGGATCACGGTGAGATTCAAGCTAACAAGAAACTGCAACATTCTCTATATGCCGTGTCCTTTTAGGACGTGGGTAATAATAGCTCTCCACTACTTTCTATGTTTTGTAGCTCTAATTAAAATTGTTTATTTTTTGCTCTCTTAATCTTTGTTCTGCCAACCATTTACATTTCTATGGCTCTTACCTTCAATATTTGCCTTGAGTGTCAAATTCTCTAAGTTGTCTTTCCTCTAAGTTGTCTTTCCTCTTTTTTTCTGATTCTAAATGTCTTTTTGTTTCCATTTTCCCCTAAATCTTTCTTCTCACTTTTTCTTTTCCTTTCATTTCATATAAATCTAAGTCGATTTTACAATTAGAATGGAACGGCATTAATCATTTCTTAACCACTTTCCCAGCGTAGACGCCTGTGTGTTTTGTTTTTTTTTTTACAGAAAGTATTTTGAGACACGGACGAATAAACACGTCCAAAACATAACTTTCAAAAACCAGCTACAGACGTGTTTAGACGTCAATCTTGATTGTCTTTTTTCTTTTTTTTTTTTTTTAAAGTCGTTCTGAGCTTAAAACAAGTCCAATTGTCAACTCATACATCTAGTAAATATTTTAGCCACCACTTGGGTACTTCAAGGTGCCTCATTTTCTTCGTTACTATATTAAAAACAAACGTTTTCTACTGTTTATCAACCCTTTGCAGATAATTTGAAACCAGATTTATTTTAGGGTTTTTAGGGTTTTGTGATAGAAGTCTTAACTCCTCCATAGCTCGGGATAATCCGTTGTGACGATAACAAAAGATTGTGTGAAATGCTTACATGGCCAACGTGGGAATTGGCTAATCTGATAATAGAAATTAATTGCGAAATTCAGCGAAAGTCACCCATAAAAGAAAAATAATTGTTTGTATGGAAAGTAAGGACCTCATCAAATTGTCTTTGAATTAAGTGGTTGCAGAAGAATTATCGTTGTACTTTTAAAAGGTAAGCTTAAATATTAATGCAATACTTAAATGCAGTGATCAATTTTGAGTTCTTCTGTAGTTGATACGGCAGCATTATACCACACAGAAAAATCTCCGCCAACAGAGGACCAGATTGCAATCAAAAGAGCCAAGGCTGCAAATGAAAACCCAGATCAAACAACAACCAAGACAGCTTTCAATGCTGAGAATATGCAAAGACTTAGGGACTGTAAAAGTCTTGATCAAGCCGAAGGTCCACTCAAGAGCCCGTCACATTTCTCACTGCCACGTCTTTGTCCTTGAACCTCACAAATGGCACGTTCAAACGTATTCCTCACTGTTCGTAATACTTCTTGGTATTGACCAGAGATACCACTGGGTAACGTTGTAACACAAGGCCGTTTATTTAACGTGTGGAACCCGAGCAAGAATACTCGGCTGGAATTGGTTGGACAAGTTTACGGGACAGGTACTACAACTTGGTCATTCTTTTTCTGGCCCACCTGTAGGCATTTTATTAGTCCTAAGGTACTAGGTTCGGGGAGAGGGGCCATGTCCATGTCCAGCTGAGTCGGTAAGTTTGACACCTGTGCTGTTTCATGAATTTAAACGTAGTACTAGATGGACATCTATATATCCTCATTTTTTTTCTGTTTAAATCAGTGAGTCTTCATGTTGCCTGTTTTACCCCTTCATGTCCTCGGCTAACTTCGGTTGAATAAATACGGACTTTCTTCTTTTTCTTTTCTTTCGACGTGTCGTATCCTTTCAGGACGTAGGCGATCATGGCCCTCCACTTCCCCCTATCCCCTGTGGCTCTCAACAGGTTTTGTGTTTCTACCAATTCAACCAGACCACGTTCCGCCATCTACTTGCCCAAACCCGCTTGGTATATCATGAGCTACTTTCCTCTGTCTCTTCCCCACACGCCTCTGTCTCTCTTTTCCCCACACGCCTCTGTCTCTCTTTTCCCCACACTCCTCTGTCTCTCTTTTTAAAAACACTCCTCTCTCTTTTTCCCCACGCCTCTGTCTCTCTTTTCCCCCACCTCCTCTGTCTCTCTTTTCCCCAACTCCTCTGTCTCTCTTTCCCCCACTCCTCTGTCTCTCTTTTCCCCACACTCCTCTGTCTCTCTTTCCCACACCTCCTCTGTCTCTTTTTCCCCACCCTTCTGTCTCTCTTTTCCCCACACTCCTCTGTCTCTCTTTTCCCCACACTCCTCTGTCTCTCTTTTCCCCACACTCCTCTGTCTCTCTTTTCCCCACACTCCTCTGTCTCTCTTTTCCCCACACTCCTCTGTCTCTCTTTTCCCCACACTCCTCTGTCTCTCTTTTTCCCCACATAAGCAAAGTCTCTCTTTTCCCCACCTCCTCTGTCTCTCTTTTCCCCACACTCCTCTGTCTCTCTTTTCCCCACACTCCTCTGTCTCTCTTTTCCCCACACTCCTCTGTCTCTCTTTCCCCCCTGTCTTTTCGTCCTGTGAGTATCAGATTCTCCGGGCCCTTTCTCATCACGTGCCCCAGAAATTTCATCTGCCTCTTATGTTAAGCATATGTCGAAAAAAAACTTTCGACGCAGTAAAAGGGTGGAAAACCCAGAAGAGCAGCGACAGCCTGGTAAGGGTTGCAAAAGAAGTCCTCCTCTTGCGACCCGCTTCAACTAGGTCTATAGTAACAGAAGAAAAAAAAGTAATAATCCTTCAGCATGACAATTAACCAGTCACGCGTCGGCTGAAAGAGAAGATAGGGTCTCGTGGGAGTACGGAGGACGATTTTTATAAGGAGGTTAACCTCTTCCCACAATCCTTCTCCTACCAAGATCATTAATATCAGTTGGTCACTTGCTTCCAGTTTCGCTGGATACAATTCCCCCGAGGCTGAAGCAAACCCGTCCGTAAGTACCCACTTCTCTCTCCTCTTTCCTTTTCTTCACACATAAGCTTCCTCTTTGTTTGCATCATCTCCTAGACCTCATCGTTGCTCACATGCTCGGTCCATGAAATCCTCAGCATCCTTCTGCAGAAACACATCTCCGCCGTCTAGAGTCTCTTCTTCATCATTGAGGAGACCATCTAACATTTGCTGCTGTATAAGAGGACAGATGTCACGTAGGGGCACAGTACTCTTTTCGTTGTCACCAAAGAAATCCTCTTGTTTCGCAGTGATCTTCCCAGCTTCTGAAATGCATCTTTTAACATCCCAAGCCGTCTTCGGATCTCAGCGTCGCACCTGCATTAATTCAAAATGTTTCTTTAATGAAAATTCTTTGAAGTAATTGAAGGTAGACTGTTACATCTAAACATGATGCTGTTTTTGCTCCATTCTAATTGAACGCTGGTCGAAGTTATGCTCTTGTATCTTCTTTTAAAATTGTTTTAATAAAACTGTAGTAAATAAAGTTTATTTTTTCTTTTTAAGGAAACAAAAACTATATAGACTCTCGTCCCCAACTCCAAATAATATAAATAACGGCTCTTCAATCTTTTATTTCATCGTTACCGAATTTTTCGGGCACCGATTTTTAAATTCTTCAAAAACAATTATCTGCATATAAAAATTGATCATGAAAACTGGTGCTTTATAAAATATACATGCATCACTTGCAACGTTATTTCTTCTGGGTATTTCTGTAGACGCTCAATTATTAAGCCTTATATTCAATTACTTTCATCTGCTGGTCTGAATATTGGAATGAGCGAATATTCTTGTGTGCGAATAGTCAGGCGTTGACAGAATGACAATTCTTGATCATTCCCGATTCTTCGAGAAGTGATGATCATGAGGAATCGTACTTAAGATTTTCCGGCATCATTAGCAAAAGACTTTACGACACTTCATCAGATTCTTGATCATTGAATGTCATTTACTGTTTTTGTTATATTTCTTATTCTTTTATTCTAGATTTTTTTTTTATAAAGGGAGACCTGTTTACAGTAAAGTCAAGAAAGTAGAAACATGTCAAGCAAGTAGTAGAGTTGGGTACGGCTTCAGGAATTTAAACATAGTAATAAATTGACAACCAGATCTCATTTACTGTTTAAACTGAAATTTAAATTCTAATTTTTGGTTCTCATATATTTATGTCTGAACTTAATTTTATATTCAAATCAAATGTGTCCACTATATAAATATTTATATATATATAACCTTATATATATATTTTAAATATATATATATATATAGCGTGTGTGTCCAGCATAGAATGTGTGTGTGTCCAGCATAGTGTGTGTGTGTGTGTGTCCATCATAGAAGTTTGTGTGTGTGTGTGTCCAGCATAGAAGTGTGTGTGTATATATATATATATATATATATATATATTGACGAGGAAATGAGTTTTCCTATCAAATATCCACCCAAACATTAAACAACCCGCTAACACTAATCAGGCTCATGTTTCTCATAAACACAAGAATGAATATAATTACTTAGGTATGTTTCATTGTGTATTTTTTATTGCATTCTTTTCTGCAATATTTGACTTCATTCTAACATTTTTCTAAAATGTGTCTCTATTGCGCCTACAAAATTATTTGTAGGATTCCAGCTGCCCTCCCACTGGTCTAAAGTTTTTACTTTTGCAACTGTAATTTCTCTCTTAATTGTTTCTTCTTTCGCACTTCCCCGCTTGTCGTTCCTTCTTCCGACTTCTTGCTTTCCACTATATGATAATCAAAAATTTAAATGTAACGTCTATCGCTATCTACTTTTTTTGAAAATCTATTTCTTTTGTTCTTTCTCCTTATTAAATTATTTTTTCTCAGCCACTCCTTGCATCTTAGTGGTTTTATCGCCTTACTTTTGAAATGATCATAGATTTAAGATTTGATTTCAACCAACAACTTTTGTCTGTTTAATTTCTTTTCATTTTATTTATAAAATTTTCGAAAGTTTTGATGTGCAACCGAATCAAAATTTGGCCAAGGTGTTTCTTTTTCGTTCTCTCCGAGTATTCCCGATTGTCTTGGTCATTCTCAAGAACTTCGGAGAGAAAGTGTTTTCTTAGTTACATTCTTGTTATTTTCATTTTTCATTTATTTGTTTAAGATTCGCTAGAAAAATACAGAATCGCGAAAAATCGGTTATCGCCTGTTAATTCTCCTCACCGCTTTAACCAGGTATTGGACTCACACTATTTGGGTCCTGTCACTGGATCTAATCAACGCCTTTATCCACTGTGCCATGTGTCTTTGAGAACACATGGCACAGTTGCTGAAGAGGGGAATTAACAGGAGATAACTGATAACTGACATCCATTAGATATGGCACGTGGAACTAGAACTGTCTACCCCAGTGAGCGAAATAAAGGGTTCAGTTCGACATTCCAACCACCTGAAGAATGACGGAGCGTACAACGACCGAAATGCTGTAATTAATATGGCGACAAAGATGAAGACAATAGTTCGAATAATGTAAATAGTGTACATAATACCTCATCTCAGAAATATAGACAGAAAACAGGAGCGATTAGAATTTCACCCTTGAATTAATGGATCGTCAGGTGAATTTCAATTTTTGTCTAACTTAGCGCATAGTACTTGTTTGAAATATGATAAAACACTTTTTCCTTTGTCTTTTTTGGGTTATATATATATATATATAATTCAGATGAAAATGACTATAACAACTAAGATGAGGATAGAAATTTGAATACATAACTTCATATCAAGTCTTTCTTGTCTCGGCTACACAGGCGGAACACCTTTCACTATTAACGTTCCAAAACACACTCTCTCTATATATATATATATATATATATATATATATATATATATATCCTCTCCTCAAAGAAAACAAATGAAGAGTAAGAAAACAAAATTATTTTAGAAGCTCCAAACTCTAGAAACTTTTCCCCTTTTGAGAAAGCGCCATTGTAAAAAGCTTTTTTCAATGTAATGTGACGGTTACACACCTGGCCCAGTGTCGGATCCTTTGGTTACGGCGCCAACGGTGACGTCGCTCCTCCTGGTCGTTCCTCCTGGGTCCAAGCGTGCCGCTCCAACCCTTTGGTCAGATGATCACCAGCCTCGCCTTTCCCGACTCGCTTCCAATACCTGGTCACTAAAGCAACTATACCGATCTCCGGTCTGTCTACCCACGCTGTGTTTAGATCTTAGACAGACGGGACCAGCAGGGATCAGGGCCGATACAAGTTGAGTCCGACGGGGTGGCAAAACACAAATAAAATAAAAACTCACGACACCAAACAAAATTGCTGATAAAAAAATGGTAACAACCTTTTATATCTTAAAGTCCGTTACATAAAAACAAAATTGTTCTCAATTCCCGACCCGCTCTGTGGACTATGGCACCAAGCTTCTATCACACAATAGGAAAATGTCGAATTACCTACTTTTTAGAATCATGTATGTATGTCGGAGTGTGGTTCAGTTCGACACTGGGGCTAATTTCTATCGATCATTCGCAGTTGATTCTTCTCTCCGACTTGAGTTGTATTTCTTCTTCTTCTTCTGTTTAGACTGGTAGATTTCTTGTCTTCGACTTGGGTTGGAAGATTTTCTTGTTTCCTTCTGTGGAAGGTGAACTTTCTTGCTTCGATTCAGTGGAAGATTTCTTGGTTTCGATTCAGTGGAAGATTTCTTGTCTTCAACTTGGGCTGGAAGGATTTCTTGTTTCGAGGATTCTTCTGTCGTCCGAGGGTGAACTGGCCTCACTCACGCCCAACCTAACTGCTGCAACCTCAGCCAACTTCAACTCAACTTCAGCTCCAACTGATTTCTGCCGACTGGGGTCCTGCTTATATTGACGCCGCAACAAACCGGGGTGGGTCGGTCGGCGTCAGGGGTTTCTCGATAATTCAAAAGCCGTATTAATTTTGACTTTCCATTATCGTTATTGTTTTCACCCCACTTTCTCACAGTGCTCTTGGTGGGGCGGCGCATATCTATTTCTCTTAGTCTCTCTCATGTCAGGTGATCGCTCTCAACCAATCGTTCCCGATCGAACCTTTCTTTCTCTTCTTTTCCGCAGCCCACGTGACCGCCTCGTCCAACAGTTATTGATCGAGGTTTTCTTTCCTTCTTCTTCCGCGGTCACGTGATTGTATTCGACCAATTGTTATTGACCGAACACCCTCTCCCTTTTGTTGGCGGGTGTGGTTACATCGTGCTGGTTTTAAAAAAAAAAAATCCGATTTCGCACCTTTTTTTTTTTTTTTCGCACGTACGCAAAATGACAATCTTTAGCCCTCTCTCACCTGGACTTTGTCAAACAGCCCGCTGCTAATTAGTCTTGACTTTTAGAAAGGATCTTTTCCGCCTTCCTGGCGCCCTCCGTGGTCCAAAAACAATTGCTCTTCTTTTTTTACCTCTTTGTTTTTCCTGATAGCCGAGAATCTTAATTATCTAGGTCGAAATATCTCTACTTTCTTAACGTGGGTGTCCAATTCTTAACAGGTCAATTCCGTATATCGTTTTTTACCAGTCACTTCCCCAACCCAAAGACACTTTCTCTCTCTGATTAAAATTCATTTCTATTATTCTAATTTAAAAGTTACCTTTCGTTATTTTGATAAGAATTCTTCTACGACAATGTCGGTCAGCGCTCGCGACCGATATCTCCAATTCTATTCTTTCAACAAAAATTAAGGTCAGTCAGAGGCTCTGACCGACATCTGATCCACACCCAAAATTCGGCCTGTTTTGATATCATGTCTTTTCCTTTCTTTCCCCTTTTCATTATTATCTTTTTCCTTTCTTCCTTTTCCTTTCTTTCTTTTTCTTTGCTTTAGGATCGTTTAGTACATTCTTAGTGAATTATTTTCAACTCAGTTATTTTCCGTTTTAAAAAAAAAAAATTAACAACCTGTTTAATAAACTGAATAAGAAAAAATTAACTCATATTTCTATGAATATTTCCAATAAATGCAAGGTGCCATAGTAAGGATTCCCGCCATTCGGTAAACTTTTTTTTTTTCATTATGCTGATATTTTTTCTAACTTTGCTACTTTCTCTTCCTTCTTTACTCGGGTTTCGAGTCTGATAATTGAAATTTGGTGTTTTGTTTCTGTTTCACACTGTTCCTTTGGCTTCAGTCTCTCTCTCTCTCTCGCTATATATGTCTACATCACTCACTCACTCACTAACCACACACACGCACCTCAGATACTTTTCCTAAAAATAAGTCGTGGTGCATTTGTTAATGTCGGCATAGCAACTTCCTTCGGTAATGTCCGTCAGCAATCGGGCAAATTGAGTTGAACTGTCCTCTGGAAGAAGATTGAACTGGTATCTAAAGACATTCTTACAAGATAAAGCACCCGGAGGGAAAAAGCCACCTGCGTACACAAGTGGCTTTTCAGGACTTTTAGCATCGTCAGCATAATAAAAATTCTGTAAGTTCGGGTTTTAAGGTTGCAATAATGAATAATCATGAACTTGCAGGGGAAAAAGTCCGGAATAAATAAATCACAATATCGTTTTTTGGTTTTTTTTTATGTTAGTTGATTTTATTCAGTCGGTAGAAGCATTTTTCCAGAGAAGGACCTTTACGAGTGAATTTGTGTGAATAATTTTTCTGATTAAATAAAGACGTTCATGGAGAATAAGAGTGGAGGGGAGTATGGGGAAACTTGATACAAGAATTTCTGTCTTGAGCTCAATTTATCGATACCTATCTGAATCTTTACCCTGTCGACGGGGCATGAAGCACACCAACTGCACCCACTGCAGAAGGGAAAAAATCGGTCAAAATGGACGGCCTTCAAGATGGATGCTTGCAGATTAAACCTGATCAATGTCTACCTAATAGGGGAAAATTTAATAAAAATATTTGGGTTGATATGTCGGAAGATGGAAAATGACACAAACCTGACTGAATCCGCTGACAAATATCCGTTGACAATGATGCGTAGATATCGGAACTTGTTGATAATTCTCCATATCTTTCCAAGCCTGCAGATAGTGATATCTCTCGAGTTCGTCTTAAACTCTGCCGTTGCCTGTGGGCCGTCCGTCCGTCCCGAGCCCTGTCGTTGCCTGTGGGCCGTCCGTCCGTCCGTCCTAGCCCTGTCGTTGCCTGTGGGCCGTCCGTCCGTCCGTCCTGAGCCCTGTCGTTGCCTGTGGGCCGTCCGTCCGTCCGTCCCGAGCCCTGTCGTTGCCTGTGGGCCGTCCGTCCCGAGCCCTGTCGTTGCCTGTGGGCCGTCCGTCCTGAACCCTGTCGTTGCCTGTTGGCCGTCCGTCCCGAGCCCTGTCGTTGCCTGTCCCGTCCCGAGCCCTGTCGTTGCCTGTGGGCCGTCCGTCCTGAGCCCTGTCGTTGCCTGTGGGCCGTCCGTCCTGAGCCCTGTCGTTGCCTATGGGCCGTCCGTCCTGAGCCCTGTCGTTGCCTGTGGGCCGTCCGTCCCGAGCCCTGTCGTTGCCTGTGGGCCGTCCGTCCCGAGCCCTGTCGTTGCCTGTGGGCCGTCCGTCCCGAGCCCTGTCGTTGCCTGTGGGCCGTCCGTCCGTCCGTCCCGAGCCCTGTCGCTTATCTATCTTGATTTGGTGATAATTATCCTTTTTTTTTTTCTTTTTTTTTTTTCCATATCGATCTAAATATCATTCAGTAGGACATTTCGTTCTGTTGTACGAGAACTGTTTCATGATATATATATAACAAATATAGGCGAAAAAAATTCTCAAATCAGACTTCACGGAGCACTTACAACTGGACCAACAATAACGTCTACCAGATGCGTTGCAACCAATAAATGACCTGATTCAATCATCTTGGCGTCTAATCACAAAGGTAAACTTCAGAAGGCTTAGATAGTTTACATCTGAGCGAGTAAGAACTTTTATTCATGCGTATATGGAAGACAAACTCTCAATACCTCTGACAAGGTACAGCTGCTACATAACTCTCCCGTTATGGCATCTCTAGAAGGGCTTCTCAATTATGATGTTCTTCCGAACTTCATATTCAGAAGGTTTCCTGAAAGCACCTCCAAACTTTTAGTGAATATCTATGGAGATGACACAAGTTTATAGGTGCACCTCCCAAATCTTAGATAGCCAGGACCTAGACGGTGATGTCTCCTCTGACATAACATTGGTAGCTCAATGGCAAACCTAGCAAATTCTGTCCTGACGATAGACTACATCCGGCAAGGCCTTAGATCAAGAGGTTTTGAGGAATGTGGAACCACCTCTTAATTGCTGGTGTTCCCAGGTCTATCCTGATCCGTGGTTGGAGCACCTCAGGGTATCAACTATGGATAAAAAGATCACCACTATATTGAGGTCAAAACATTTTGAAAGTATAAAAATATTTTTTATAGTAAAAATACCAGTGATACACCGTCTTGGGTAAAGACGATATACTATGTCAAGGCCTCTGATCAGGAGGTTTTGAGGATCGTGGAACCACCTCTTAATTCCTGGTGTTCCCAGGTCCATCCGGGTTGTAGCACCTGTTAGGGTCCCAGCTATGAGCAAATAGTTACCCCCCCCCCAAACTGGGGTCAAAACACTACAAAAATGTAAAAATGTTTTAATTTAGAAAAAATGATTACCAGAAATAGATTTTTGGAAAAAAAATATTACCAGCAATAAAAATCTTGTCGGCATTAAATCACCCTTTGAGGATGATATCGCGTTAACCAAACCAAATCCTAAAATCTTGTCGGCGTTAAATAACCCATTGAGGTGTTAATATGCCGTAAAATAAAATAGACCAAACTGAACTTGGCAAACCCTGACCTTTCACCTATTATGGTGGACAGATCTTCTCTCAAAGAGGCTATTTGCCTGAAACGCCTGTTGGGACTGAAGGGGTTCTTGAAACGCCTGTTGGGACTGAAGCTTCATTTCAGACCAGAAATGGAACTCATAGATGTGCTGCTCCAGTAAGTTTCTGACTCCACCTGTTACTATCTTTACAAGTTCAAAAGAATGCAAGTGTCCTTGTGGGTGATGATTTGTTTCCTAACCTAAAACCCCTTTCTCCACAGACGAAACATCGCGAATCTCTCGTTACTCTATCGCTATTTCCATGGCAAGTGTTCTGACTAGTTACATTTCCCGGTTCCACCAACCCTGAGCTTTGTAGCTGGGACCCTCCATGCCAGGTGCAGAAGAATGAATCCTTCTCATTCCGTTCGTATCCAATTAATAAGATCCATGGAACAGTTTCTTTGTAGAACAAACGCCCGAGAATATGGTTTCCCAATCACTACACACTTGACATTGAACCTTTTTGCCTTTCTTACGCTCATACAATACCACAGAGTAACACTCTACCTTGAGTAGCTCTTGGGTCTTGTATTGGTTGAACATCAGAAAAAAACATGGCCTTATATATATATATATATATATATAGTAGCAGCGTTGCCCGTGCTTGATTCAAAAACTGTACGACTCGTACAGCAATCGCTATCACTTGACTTAAAATATTTTTGCCCTTCCTTGCCTTTAAAAGAGTGCCCTTTGCCATGCTGATGTTGCTACATGCATTAATTCTTGCCTATCTCACACTGCGAATTTTTTCTAAGCTCTATACTAAACATTAAATCTGTTACGAAAAAAGAACTAAACAAAATGAACACAAAACGATCAGCTTTAAAAAAAAAGGACTCGTAACTTGAAAAACCGAATGAAAAAAATGTCAACAACAAATACTTTTTCACACCGAACCCATTTCTGTGGAATCAGAATCAACGTTGAGTTTAAGCAAGCGAATGAGCCAATTGGAGTAAAGTTCCATGCAGATTTAAATTTTTCCCACTTGTGACGAATGCAGCTATCGATTTTTTTGCATGCTAGTTAACATTCGTGTCAGTCAGCTGTTGGCTCTCACGTTTGCCAATAGAATCTTCCTGCCTATTCGTGGCAGCCAGCTATTGGCTCTCACTCTGGCCAGTACAAAATGGCTGCAAACTACATGAAAACTGGGGTAGAAGCATGAAAAAATCGATTATTTCCACTATCGATGTGAGTTGGTAAATGCAAAGTCGGTCTTGGCCTTTCCCGCTAACTTGAAGCATGTGCATGTAAATTTTGGTGCAAATCCGTCGAAAATTGCGGCCGTGCATACACATACACACACACATCCTGCCTTCTATAGATATATATATAAATATATATGTTTGTGTGTGTGGTGCAGTTCAATTTATATTACAATGAATCATTCATACAAAAAGTAAATTAGTAAAGTTAATGATATAAAATGTCGAAATCCTTTCGCTAACAATTTTAATGATGCATTAACCGACTAATCACTCGATGAATGTTATGATACTTGGTTTTTTTGGGTTTTTTTTTGGTTTTTTTTTTTAAATTATAAGCTGTATAAGGTCTTTCTTAAATACGCAAGTACTTTCGACTGTGCATTCAGTCATCTTCAGCCATGGAAATTGTTTTTGGTAAAATTCAGGTAACACCCGAGACGAAAAAATATACTGCGAATCGAAATATATATTTTTAAATGTTATTGATAATGCATACAAACTTAATTCAATCGTGTGCGTTTTTTCACGAATACGCCAATTTCAGAATTTTTATAGTACGTTATTTTTATAGATGTAAATAGTTAAATGATCTGTTTATAATAAACAGTATTAACAACTTTTACCGACCTGAATGTCCGACAGGAATCGAACATGTATCCTATAGGGAACCGTCATATCGCCTCACATGCTATACCTACAGAGGAAGCGTCTGGTTAGCAAGGCCGAATTACTGCTGTTAAACAATGATTTCCTATTTTCCTGGGACACTCATAGGGCAAGACAGATTCTTCCGTGACCCTAAAGAAGTACCTCTTAAAATTGTTATAAAGGGAGGGACTTCAAGATGGTGCTCAGACCAACAAGGACATCACGGCCCTTCCCATTGCGGATTTTGATATTAGAAACTGTATTAGCAGCAAACCACTTGCATGCGGATATAAAATAGTAAATATAAATAAAATAGATTGTTGTAAGATACGGGTGTGTCTTCTCATTGGACACACAACTTAATGATGTAATTCCGAGATAATTTTAGCGGTCACAGTCTTAACCACATAAGAATTGCAGATAACACGGTTTTGATACCAGAAAAGAAACAGGAACTCGTATAGAAGATAATGAGGGAAAGCTAAAAGAGAGGACTAAACATTACTTGCAAGAAGACAATGCGTGCACAAAATGGAGATAAAATCAAACCGGTACAAAACTTTAAATATCTGGGAAGTGCATTAACAAAGAGGAAATGTGGCAGTGAAATCCAAAGATGTTTTGGAATAGCGAAAGATGTCTTATAAAAGCCAAGCAAAGTATTAAACAGGAAAATGTCAACAGAAAGGAAATATTGCTGAAGTATTACATAATGTCATGTATGCTGGACAATTTCTGCACAGATAAAGAGACTTGAAGCAACAGAAATGTGGTTTTACTGAAGAAGACCATGCATCGAACATGTGAGCGCCGACGAAGTTTCAAAGAAAATTAAAACGAAAAAAAAAAAAACACAGGAAGAGACAGTTGAAATTTCTAAGGGACACAATAAAAAAGAAGACGCGGAAAATTTGATACTCACAGGACAGATTGAAGGCAAGCGGCACAGAAGAAAGTAATGCGTAAACTACCTAATTTCAGGAGCTATAAGAAAAAGACATTAAGAGCTACAAAGAACAAGAAGTTCTGGTGTGCCATGTTCGCTTGCATAAAAGGACATAGCACATTCAAGAACTAAAGAATATAGCCAGACTTGAACTTCTGACGTGTAAATAGCCATAAACTTCCAACGTTTGGTCTGTGGGGAAAGGGGTTGTAGGTTGGAAAATAATTCATCACCCACAAGGCTACGTAAATTTGTTTAACTATGTCAAGACTTGAAAGTTCAACAGCTAATTTCTTTTGTACGTCGATATTGGGAAGCGATTAAGATATTTATTTTTTCTTGTACTCCTCGTTATTTTTATCTAAGTTCGGGAAAATGACAAGACGTCCCATTGGTAAAAACAACTTGACCGGTCCGAAAGTCTCGTCACTTTCTACCAAAAAAGTAATGAGAAAAATAGATCAAGTAATACAAAGCTCATGTACTGGAATTAGTTTATTCAATTTCGATGACGCTGTCTCACATCAAGACTTTCTGTACAAACACCATTTTCGTGTCAGCCATCTGAAGTACGAAATTATATGTATGGGGTAACAAGACTTTCGGACCACCCTGTAGATTAAGTGAAATTACAAAACATCCTTACATGTAATCAAATAAAAGGACGATAAAAAGTGAGGGATCAGTTTTGTATTGTTATTTAGTATTAATCACATCCCCCATTTCTTGGCTATAGTACTGTGTGATCCAAAAGTTATGTCACCCCCTACCGAAAGTAATGAGAACAATAGAACGAGTAATACAGTAATACAAAGCTCATGTACTGGATTCAGTTTATTCACTTTCATTGATGTTGTCACACATGGAGAAGGTCTGTAGGAACATTTTCGTGTCAGCCATCTTAAACAGAAAATTATTAGGTTGGTGCAAAAATAATGACGCAATAATGTCGTTTTGT